TTTCAGGAAACAGAAAAAGAGGGAGAACTTCCAAATTCATTCTACGAGGCCAACATCACCCTGATTCCTAAACCAGACAAAGACACTTCAAATAAAGAAAACTACAGACCAATATCTCTAATGAACGTAGATGCAAAAATCCTCAATAAAATTCTGGTGAATCGGATACAAAAACATATCAAAAAAATAGTGCACCATGATCAAGTAGGATTCATCCCTGGGATGCAAGGCTGGTTCAATATACGGAAATCAATAAATCTTATTCACCACATCAATAGACTTAAAAATAAGAGCCATATGATCATCTCGATAGATGCGGAAAAAGCATTCGACAAAGTACAGCATCCCTTTATGTTCAAAACTCTAGAAAAACTAGGGATAACAGGAACATACCTCAATATTGTAAAAGCAATTTATGCTAAGCCTCAGGCTAGCATCATTCTGAATGGAGAAAAATTGAAGGCATTCCCTCTAAAATCTGGAACAAGACAGGGATGCCCTCTCTCACCACTTCTGTTCAACATAGTTCTCGAAACACTGGCCACAGCAATTAGACAGACGAAAGAAATTAAAGGCATCAAAATAGGAAAAGAAGAACTTAAATTATCACTATTTGCAGATGATATGATTCTATACCTAGCAGACCCAAAAGGCTCTACAAAGAAACTATTAGAGCTAATAAATGAATTCAGCAAAGTGGCAGGATATAAAATCAACACGCATAAATCAAAGGCATTCCTGTATATCAGCGACAAATCCTCTGAAATGGAAATGAGGACAACCACTCCATTCACAATATCTTCAAAAAAAATAAAATACTTGGGAATCAACCTAACAAAAGAGGTGAAAGACTTATACAATGAAAACTACAGAACCCTAAAGAGAGAAATAGAAGAAGATCTTAGAAGATGGAAAAATATACCCTGTTCATGGATAGGCAGAACTAACATCATCAAAATGGCGATATTACCAAAAGTTCTCTATAGGTTTAATGCAATGCCAATCAAAATCCCAATGACATTTCTTGTAGAAATAGAGAAAGCAATCATGAAATTCATATGGAAAAATAAAAGACCCAGAATAGCAAAAACAATGCTAAGCAGGAAGTGTGAATCAGGCGGTATAGCGATACCAGACTTCAAACTATACTACAGAGCAATAGTAACAAAAACAGCATGGTACTGGTACCAAAACAGGCGGGTGGACCAATGGTACAGAATAGAGGACACAGAAACCAATCCACAAAACTACAACTATCTTATATTTGATAAAGGGGCTAAAAGCATGCAATGGAGGAAGGATAGCATCTTCAACAAATGGTGCTGGGAAAACTGGAAATCCATATGCAACAAAATGAAACTGAATCCCTTTCTCTCGCCATGCACAAAAGTTAACTCAAAATGGATCAAGGAGCTTGATATCAAATCAGAGACACAGCGTCTGATAGAAGAAAAAGTTGGCTACGATCTACATACTGTGGGGTCGGGCTCCAAATTCCTCAATAGGACACCCATAGCACAAAAGTTAATAACTAGAATCAACAAATGGGACTTACTCAAACTAAAAAGTTTTTTCTCAGCAAAAGAAACAATAAGAGAGGTAAATAGGGAGCCTACATCCTGGGAACAAATCTTTACTCCTCACACTTCAGATAGAGCCCTAATATCCAGAGTATACAAAGAACTCAAAAAATTAAACAATAAGAAAACAAATAACCCAATCAACAAATGGGCCAAGGACCTGAACAGACACTTCTCAGAGGAGGACATACAATCAATCAACAAGTACATGAAAAAATGCTCACCATCTCTAGCAGTCAGAGAAATGCAAATCAAAACCACCCTAAGATACCATCTCACTCCAGTAAGATTGGCAGCCATTATGAAGTCAAACAACAACAAGTGCTGGCGAGGATGTGGGGAAAAGGGTACACTTGTACATTGCTGGTGGGACTGCAAATTGGTGCAGCCAATTTGGAAAGCAGTATGGAGATTTCTTGGAAAGCTGGGAATGGAGCCACCATTTGACCCAGCTATTCCCCTTCTCGGTCTATTCCCTAAAGACCTAAAAAGAGCATGCTACAGGGACACTGCTACATCGATGTTCATAGCAGCACAATTCACAATAGCAAGACTGTGGAACCAACCTAGATGCCCTTCAATAGACGAATGGATAAAAAAATGTGGCATTTATACACAATGGAGTATTACTCTGCATTAAAAAATGACAAAATCATAGAATTTGCAGGGAAATGGATGGAATTATTGCAGATTATGCTAAGTGAAGCTAGCCAATCCCTAAAAAACAAATGCCAAATGTCTTCTTTGATATAAGGAGAGTAACTAAGAACAGAGTAGGGACGAAGAGCATGAGAAGAAGATTAACATTAAACAGGGATGAGAGGTGGGAGGGAAAGGGAGAGAGAAGGGGAAATTGCATGGAAATGGAAGGAGACCCTCAGGGTTATACAAAAGTACATACAAGAGGAAGTGAGGGGAAAGGGAAAAACAATACAAGGGGGAGAAATGAATGACAGTAGAGGGGGTAGAGAGAGAAGAGGGGAGGGGAGGGGAGGGGAGTGGGGATAGTAGAGGATAGGAAAGGCAGCAGAACACAGCAGACACTAGTATGGCAATATGTAAATCAATGGATGTGTAACTGATGTAATTGTGCAATCTGTATATGGGGTAAAAATGGGAGTTCATAACCCACTTGAATCAAAGTGTGAAATATGATATATCAAGAAATTTGTAATGTTTTGAACAACCAACAATAAAAAATTTTAAAAAAAGGAAATATCTCCACAGAAACATCTAAAATTCAGAGGATCATTAGAAACTATTTTGAAGATTTCTACTCCAATAAACTAGAAATTCTTGAAGGTACTGATAAATTTACAAACATATGACCTACATAATTTGAACCATGAGAACATAGAAAACTTAATCAGATTGATGTCAAACAATGAAACTGAAGCATCTATAATATCCTTCCAATGAAAAAAAAATCCCAGGACCAGATGGATTCTCAGACAAGTTCTACTAGACCTTCATAGAACTAATATCAATCCTCTTCAAAGAATTCCATAAAAATAGGAAAAGAGGGAAGACTTTCAAATTCATTGAATAAAGCCAGTATCACATTGGTACCAAACCAGACAAAGACACATAAGGGAAAGGAAACTATAGGGTGATATTCCTGGTGAATATAGGTGAAAAAATCATTAATAAAACACTGGCAAACTGCATTCAAAAAAATTAAGAAGATAGTACACCATGATCAAATGGGTTTCAACCCACGGATGCAAGGTTAGTTTAACATAGGCAAATCAAAAAATGTAATTCACCATATAAACAGAGTTAAGGCAAGAATCACATGGTTGTCTCAATTGATAAAGAAAAAGCATTTGACAAACTTCATCACACATTCATGTTTATGTACAGATGGAAGGAAACTACTTCAACATTGTAAATGGTATATATGACAAACCAAAGACCTCCTCATACTAAACAGAGAAAAACTGAATTTCCATAAAAACAAGAACGATATAAGGATGGGGGTATTTTTTTTATATTCTTGATTTTAATACTCTGTTAAATGATTATATGGCAAAGATGCTCTACTATTCTGTAGGCTTTCTCTTCAATCTATTGGTTGTTCCATTGGCTGTTAAAACACTTTTTAATTTTAAATATTGTCACCTGTCAGTTCTTGCCATTATTTTCTGAGCTATTTAAGTCCTGTCTAGGTTATCTTTGCCTATATCTATATCTTGAATTGTTTTGTCCATGTTGTCCTTTAGTTGTTTCAAAGTTTCAGGCCTTACATTAAGGTATTTGAGTCATTTTGGTTGAATTTTAGTTGATTTTTGTAAAGTAAGTTGATTTTTGTACAGCATAAGTGATAGGGTCTAGTTTAAATATTCTGTGATTTAAATTCAATTATCCTATTATCATTCACTGAAGAGGCTGTATTTTTTAAAAATGCATTGACTAATTTGCTGAGAATCCAATGGTTGCACATGTTTGGGTTTATTCTTTGGTCCTCTATTCCACTGGTGTATGTATCTATTTTCATGCCAATACCATGCTTTTATATATTACAATGTCACATTAATACAATTTGAAGTTGGGTATTGCAATTCTTCCAGCACTGTTTTTGCTCAGAATTGCTTTGGCAATTTGTAGTCTTTTATGCTTTCATATAAATTTTTGAGTGCTTTTTTAGTGATATGAAGAATGGCATTGGCATCCCAATTTCATTGAATCTGTAGATTGATTATTATTTTTATTTTAATTATTTTTTTATTTTATTATTATTATTTTAATAATAATAATTTTTCCAATCCTTAAACATGGGAAGTCTTTTAACCAGTTATTGTCTTCTTCAATTTCTTTCTTCAGTGATTTATATCTTTTATTGTAGAGGTCTTTCACTTCCCTCATTAATGTCATTTATAGGTTTGTTTTCTTTCTTGCTTGTTTAGTAATTTTTTAAGAGTGTCTTGCTCTGCTACCCAGCCTAGTCTTGAATTTGTGGATCCTAGTGATCCACCTGCCTCAGTCTTGTGAAAACTTTTATTTTTTAAATTTTTTTTTTTAGTTTTCAATGGACCTTTATTTTATTTATTTATATGTGGTGCTGAGAATCAAACCCAGTGCCTCACACATGCTAGGCAAGTACTCTACAACTGAGCCCCAATTCCAGCCCTTGTAAATACTTTTGACTACAGCAACACACTGCCCAAAAAATATTTTGATGAAGGACTGGCAATATCACTAATCATGTGTACCCTCTGCAGGGGTTATTTTTCTCTTATTTCTCCTATTTTGCTTACCTCCACTCATTAAATTATTCATCTTACTCTCCCACAATCTAGACTACTAATTTCCTGATAACTACATAAAATCATGGTCCATTTTTGCAGTATTCACAACTCCTGAAACTGTTTTCAACAGTCTAAAGTTAATGAATAAGAAAATTAAGGAAGTAATGCATACCTGTTGAACATTGGCCTGAAGGAGATCTCCAAGATGCCTGACTAAGTCAGAGAAGTTGGGCCTCTTTGTGTAATCACTATGCCAGCAGTCAAGCATGGTCTGGTAGCTATAGATTGGGAAAAATGTTAAGGTAATCTCCATCCACCAGTTCTACTTCTTTTATAACTTTTTACATGGGTGATCCATTAGGACTTGTCTTCACAATTACCCCAAAGCACATTCTCTGCTGTGGCCTTATACTACAGTTACTAATAAAGCCTGCCTAACCCATACCTGTTCCTTACATACATGTGCCCACCATTACCACATTTTTCAGCTCTGTATGCATAAATAAATGTAAAGAATCAATTATATTTAGGTTTAGGAGAGAAAGGTAGCATTTATTTCTGTCACTTGCTCCTTTATCAGTACAAGAATTGTATGAGTGGTGAGAGCATTGCATTTTATGAGGCTAACTGTCAACAATTCTCTTGGACTTTGGGCTCTCCTCGGGATCAATTTTTGGCTTCAAGTAGCATTAGACAGCCTTGGGAAAGGGTATAAAAACTTCCAGTTTTATATATTTTAGTTCAAATACTGGAGTCCCAAACTATACTGTCCAATGGTTTTGATAAATAAGCCATCAACTAAGTAATGGTTGCAGTTTCACATTGAAATTACTCTTCAATGAAAACCAAAGTATTTATATATATACACACAACTTTCTGGAGTGATGGATCTTTCCATTTGCTTTTAGAACATATTTTTAATTATGATGGATAACATCATTTTAATTATAATGGTTTTATAATCACATATAAGAATTGGATTAATTATGCCATAATTGTACTACACATAACATAATTTGATGAATCACATTCCCCAGTATCTTTACTTTCCCTCTCTTATCTTACCAAAATCCATTTGCTCTACTCTATTGATTTCCATTCTGTTATTATTATTATTTGAATTAGTACACTATAATTATATATAATGGGATTTGTTATGGTATATTCATTCATACATTTCCATAGCATCATGTGATAGATTGGATTACCACTGATTAAAGTTATTTAGATTTATTTATTGGGCCAGTGAGAGATTCTGGAGATTCTTGAAATTCACTCTCAGACTTTATTTCTCCAGATTGTTTCAATTTGTTTGGCCATATCTTCTTTCAGTGCCCAGTACAGGCTGTGTCAGGAAATCACACATCTGGGCTGCAATTTTTTATTTAATAGCTAAAACATAGACTTCTATGTTTTAAATCTGTGGCTAAAAAGGAACTAGCCAGTGTCCTGGTTTTATCTAATTCCTGAGTGTTTCATAATACAAATGTAATGAATATTTCACTATATGCATCTACATATGAAATTTTAATCATCTATTTCATAGTTCCCTTTGAATTATAACTATATACTTTAAGAGAGCAAAAGACAACTTTAGCATTCAACAAGAGTTTTTAAGTTGAATTTTACAACACGCTGTGTTTATGTTGATCCTTTCCTCCCAAATTAATTAAGTCTGGTGGCTCTTCATTTGTAGAACATACATTTCAGGAGTGGAATATTCAGGGGATCTCATTCTTGTTCCCTCCTTAAGCTGACGGCAGAAGTCCTCATCTACTTGCATTCCTGGGTATGGTGAAGCACCTGGAATAGAAGAAAAGACACATATTTTCCCATGGGTAAGCAATCTATCAAGTTCTTGTGACTCAAATACCTAAAGAGAACTCTGGGAATGAACAAACAGCTCTGTATCTATGTAGAACATGAGACACAGGACTTCCATCCAATTTCCCAATCTTGGCTGATATCTCTGTTTGAAGGTCTGACAGAAAGTATTTACCCAGAAAATTCTAATCAAAATTGCACTGATATGATAGATGGAGGTTTTCAAAAACTAATGATTTATTTTCATTGACTTCACATTTATTAATGCTTTTAATTGATATATTCAGCCATAACTCTTGTGTTTAGTCCAAGAAGTCCTATTATTTGAAGTCTCTGAAAGCTGTTCTCATATTAATTTTTAACCTGCCATGCTCCTATGACTAAGGCATAAAGAAAAACAAGGGAGTAGAATTCTAGTCAGTGTGTGGAGGTATGCCTCCAATTTGAGAAATATAGTCCTCGTAGCATGGAAATCCAAAAGAGAAATAAGGTCTGAAAGTCAATTTCAAGTTGATAAAATGAAAACTTATTTACAAAATATTATGGGTAATAGTTAACTAAAGTACACTTTCCAAATTTGAATCATATTTAAAGTAGCTAAGTGTATTACAAAATATGTTTTAGCACAAGTTCCTACACTTATGTCAATACATAGTTTCCAAAATCACTACTGATATCTGATACATAATATTGAGTAAATACTGAAACTCTAAAATAAGTGTTCTAGGTCTTTGAGATTAAAGGTGGTATCAACATTGCCAAAATTTTATTTAAATAAACATTTGAAAATCCAAGGTGATTGGTCATTTATACACCCCAAAACTTTCCCCCAAAAATGTTCCTGGTAGTTAAGAAATATAAATCAGAAGTGACAAAGAAAAAGCCAAAGATAAAATCAAGACTAATTCTAATAAACTATCAGATTATCAAATAGAATACACTTGGAGATGAGGAGAAATTACATCAATCATCTAGCATCAACCTTCTAACTTTCAAGAAGTATGCTATAGAAACCTGATCAGTTAGCTAATTCAAGGCAACCTGTAAGATACTCTTAATTTTAGTTACTTCTCCATTGTTGCCTTAAATAACTTATTTGGTTAGTTTTACTCTTGTTATATTTTAGGCATTATAGATATAAGCACATGTCATCATCAAGGAACAATTATTTCCAACCTGTGTGTCACACAACCCTGAGAGATTGGAGTTATAAGAATGGATCTTCATATCCTTGGGACCAACAGTCATTATCAATAGCTAAAATAATTAATGTATCACGAGTGATAATTATTTTCTAAATCATGAAAACTGATGAAATTCACAAAAGAAAATCTATTTTTTCAATTTCCTGAATTCATAATAGCTTTCTCTAATGCATGCTTTCTTAAAAAAGACATGCTAAGACTGTAAGTATCTTTATATTATAAATGTGTAATTCATTTCCTAATTTGCCTGATGTAAGTAGAAAGGTTAAAATAACATATATCAGAGTTTTCTAAGTAAATTTGTTGTAATCTCTGGAACGTATTAGAGCAGAATATTTGCTATTCACTCTGTGGAAAATATTAGGAGTCTTTGCGAGATAGATGGTAAAGAATCATCCCTTTTAGATGTGCACTGTGTGTCACTTCAAAGAGCAGAAACATTACCTTTTGGTGTTTATGCCATAAGAATATATTGTGTATATAGTACTGGCCTTATCCTTAGGTTCACTTTGGACAGATATATATCTTTGTATGATTTGAGTATTAATAATTGATCTGTTCCTCCCCAGGAACTATATCCTAGATTACAATTTTCAGTTATGCAAATATCTTTTTTAAAAATCCATCACCTAGCTGGGCATGGTGGCACATGTCAATAATCCCTGCAGCTCAGGAGGCTGAGGCAGGAGGATGGTGAGTTCAAAGCCAGCCCCAGCAATAGTTAGGCACTAAGCAGCTCAGTGAGACCCTATCTCTAAATAAAATACAAAATAGGGCTAGGGATATGGCTCAGTGGTTGAATGCCTCTGAGTTAAATCTCCTCTCCAGTACCAAATAAACAACAACAACAACAACAAAAATCACCTAACTACCATTCTACTTTGTGCTTTAACTTACACTGTCTCCTGAAATTCTTTAATTTCTTTAATCTTTACCTTTCCCAGAAACAACTCCTCCAAACTTCATATGTATCTTCGTATCCTTAAATGTCCAATTCTACTTGTTCATTCTTTTATTTACTTATTTATTTTTTAGTTGTCAATGGATTTTTTTTACTTTATTTATTTATGTGGTGCTGAAGATCAAACCCAGTGCCTCACACATGGTTGTGGCTCTACCACTGAGCCACAACCGCAGGCAACTTGCTCATTATTTAAGAGAGTTTTCAGATGTAATTTTTCCTCAAGAAGTAGAAACTAACCTCATCCTCCATATTTTCTTTTACATTTTACCGAAATCTCTATTATAGGGTGCCGCAGTCTGGCTGGGCACAATTCAGGAGCCACTTGTCAAAAGAAACAAACTTTATTTTTAGAACACACACACCGCACCACACAGCTCTTCAGGAATTCCCTCAGAGCCCAACTGCCACCACCTGCTTCCCACAAGCCTCTCAACCTCCCCCACTCCTCCTGCTCTTGAGGCCGATTGGTTGGGAAGTTTACTGGGGTCCCTTCGGCTGTGGCTCTCAACAACAGGGCTTGTCACAGAATTAATTGGCTGTATTTTTTCCAAATTACCTGTAAGTCCTAGAGGATAAAGAACAGTCTTATCCTACAGTGATTTTAATGTGAATGTCACAACAGCAAATGTTTGTTGAATTAAATTATAAATCTAATGAAATAAACTTCTAAAGTATTTAATAAGTATACATTTCTTTATCCTACTTTTAAATAAATACATGACAAATGGTGATGTTAAATGAACATTAAACACATAGAAACAATATTCTACTTTATTCTGATGTTTGAATTTTAGCAGTTACCATCAAAAGTGACATTTCATATGTAAAACCTATTGCCTGGACTTTCATTATGTTAATCACTGGGCTTGGCTTTTGAATGAAGACTATATCAAGTAAAATAACATTAATAGTTATAAATTTAACTATTATTTCTCAAAACCCATGGACATAAAAATTGTTAGTATCTTTTGTGGGCCAAAGATGTTGTGGTTATTTGGTAAGCCTACCTACTAAAACGAGGGCCTACATGCCTTCTGTTGGGGTCAACCCTTGTCACTTGATATTGCTTAAGGTGTTTTTTTCAGCCAGTGGATACAAGTTCAGCCATGAGTTACAACTACAGCATAAATACTGCTTAGTGTCAAATTGGAAGTTTCATGTATATCTTTCTGCTACTCTGAGATCTACCATGAGATTGAATATACCAGATGCTCAAAGGAGAGCCCACCTATGGGCCTGTTATCCTTCTAGGATCAATACAAGTTCTCTGCTATTTCTGCTATTCCAGAAGCAGAAAGATAAACCATATTCACCAGTAAAGTATATAGGGTAGCACTGATGGTTCTTGCATCACTTTATTTCCCATATAAGCCTTTCCATATTTGATGGTAGATCTAGGAGAAAGATTCTAGGAGACAGATTAAAGTAAAAGAGAATTGGAATGACAGAGAATATAGTTCTAGTGACTTCAGAAACAGGCCCCACCCAAAAACTCAAATTCCCTAGATATTCTAGGAAAAACTGTTCTTTGGAGAGAAGTGCCAGTTAAAAGCTCCAACTTTTTAATTGGAACATAGACAAAGATAATACCTTAGGAAACACTCATAATTCCTCCTGCAAGGCTAGAGAACAGATATACTAAGAAAGCTAGGGAATTGAGGTCCAACAACAACTTGTGAGTCAGTGAGAAAATATATTGGGATATGATAACTTACATCAAATTTTTGTAAATTGTCTTGCTCTGTGGAATGCAATGGAAATACAAGGCTCTATTTTAACTTAAAGGGATGATAAGATTAATCATAGTATAAGTGGTTTTTACTTATCATGTAAATTTAAATATAAGACAGCAGCCAACAGATACTTGACCCTTCAAAACAATTCATTTTTGCTATATTTTAAAATCTTAGCTATAGTCAGTGAATATCTTATGTAATATACTTTAAAAGTGTAAGTCACAAAATGGGGTTTGGACAATTTATTTAAGGATACAAGTGAAAATTCAGAAATTAATATATTCATACTCCTCAATGTGATATTTTGATAAATATACATTATGAAATGATTAAATTACACTAATAAACATAAACATTAACCTATAAGTTAGTCAGCTTTTTGTCACTGTGACCAAAGTATCTGATAGGACAACTTTTTTCGGAGGTTCAGTGCGTGGTTGGCTGATTCCATTGTTCTAGGAATAAGGTGAGGCAGAACATCCTGGTAGCAGGGCAGGCAGAAGAATGCTGCTCACATGAAGGTAGCCAGGAAGTAGAGAGGTAAAGCCAGGGGACAAGATATAACTCCCAATACTATACCTCTAGAAACCTATTTCCTCTAGCCATGTCCCATCTGCCTATAGTTATCACCCAGTGCAGTAATCTTTTGAACTTATCCATCATTTGAATGTATCCACTGAATAGGTTATAGCTCTCATAATCTAATTATTTCACCTCTGAACATTCCTTCATTGACTATCACATGAGTTTATTAGTGGATACCTTATATCCAAACCATAACAAACTATTTATCTTTTTTTGTTAGTGGAATGTTTAGTATATGGTTTCTTAGGAATTTTAAATTAAAAATAAGTTATTATAACTATAGCCCACACAATACAAAATATTTCTAGAATATTAATTTCCCAACACAATACATATTAATGTCAAACAGATATTGTAATCAATGTTCTTCCTTACTAAATATCATTGAGATTTTTTAGCATTAGATAAACATCTCTCCAGTAACCACACACCAACATTCTACTCTCTGTTTTTATAAATCTGACTTTTTTAGAATATACATATAAGTGA